TACTATCACTTCTTATTTTCTACTTCCGGCCAGAATTAAAAGCTTTAACTTATTTATGCAAATTTGTCTTGCGAATGCCAAGTACTTAAGTTGTGGCTTTTTGCCAAGTAAGAGAGAGGAAGGAGTGATTAGGAGCGGGTCGCTTGCCATAGCAGTTTTACTCGGTTGCTGGTTGCCTTCAAGGCCAGAGGTTTAATCCTCTTGATAATTTTAAACGTATCGTAGTGTTAACAGTTCTCTGTACTACATACGGCCTTTCTGTTAATATACGACCAATCTTCAAGTAGACACTTGTTTATTAATCCAAAGTTAGTTTAGTTAGAATTTAGTTAATATTTTTATATTCTTACGTTCAGACCACAAGTGGTTGGTCTCTGTATTCCGAAGTCCGAAAATCATTGTAAAGAGAGAAAAATAAAGGGTTTCGTAGGTTTCGTATACCCTTCCTGTGTATCTTGTCTACTTCCCACATTTATTGAACATAGCTTTAGTAAGCTCCCTGTTCCGAGTCAGGTCATTTAATGTTCCCCAAGCAAGTAAGGAGGAATACTGAACCTGATAACTTCAGTGGTTATACTGGGTTTCTATTGCGTTTAAACAGTACTTCCCAGTAACCTGATTTGGAGGTCACTTTGGGTCTTGTGCTGATGGTTACCTGAATTAGATCCCAAGGTGAGAGATCTTGCAGAAGAAGAGTAGGTACTGTCTGTGTTTTAAAACAGACACTGTTCGCGGTGTCTGCTGGGTGACGATTGTTATGGCAACAGAGTTAGTATATTTCAAGTAGGGGTGAGACGTAGCCAAAAATAAGAATAAAATAGAAGAATTTCTATTGTTGGACGTTGGCAGACTGAAACATGCGCCAGAATGGCAATAATTTCAGACTATGAAAGACTGCTAGACTACTGAAGCATTCTAACTCTTGTTATGCTCAATAAATGGCAGAACGTTATATAATTCTATTAATTTTGAAATTGTCGTAATCTATATAATTAAATATTTATACAAGAGCTACAGGCTGCAGAAGAAACTCACGGAGACCGCACGCTCCCCACCTATGATCTAAGATTTTGCTCTAAAGATTTTAGTTTGTTTGTACTTAATGCTTTGTAAAAATATCTGCAGTTAACGATTCCGTATTAATTCAGTGGACAAATATCAGAGCTCATAATTTTTATCTTTAACAGAATCTTTCCAAAAATAATATTTAGTATCTACATGTTTAGTTCTCTCACTGCCTCTGTACCTATTTAACGTTTTTGATGAAACTTTGATTATCATCACAGAAAACGCAAACAGTGCCAAATCCATGGAAATAATGCAAAAAGCCTTTTAGGCTAAACTGCATCCTTAAGTGATTCGGCAGGAGCCATCAATTTCGCTTCAGTCGATAACGAAATCACACACGGTTGTTTTCTGCAGTTCGACGTAAAAACACTGTTTTGATATGTAAAGAAATATCTGGATTTAAATTTCCTATTGATAGAGCTATGCTAGGGTGGCTAGGCTTCTTATTCTGGGTGGATGCAGATGCTGCAATCTGCATCCACCTAGCATCCAATCTGCAATCAGCATAATAGAGAATTATTTTCTTTCTTGCTTACGTTTCCTAGACGCAGTTTAAGATTTTGAGTTTATTTCAAATATCTGAAGAGAATTTTGACTTCGGTAGGTTTTTGACACATTTTTGGCTAAGATGGAAACAGCAGCTTGTGTTGTTTGGTATTGACTGCTCAGTACAGTAACGATCCTATTGTACTTTCATATTTCTCAACTTTACTCCAAGCTTTTGAATCTTTCTTTTGCTAATAGTATCCTGGCTCAACAGGAAACATAGATGTTTTACAATGTTTTATCTCATACTGTTTCAGCTTTTTCGAAATGTAGCTTGATTGAGAGAAGATTGTGTGTAGACGATTCTGTGTAGAAGATTCTCTCGTAATCACACTGAAAACGTATGCCTAAATAGTAATGAAGATTTTCCAAATCTTTCATTGCGAAATTTTCACTAATTTCGTTTTCAACATTTTCGAGTAAATCTTCTGGGCTTGCTGCAATAACCATATCATCTACATGTACACATCCTTCTTTATCTTGCCTTGTATGTAAGCAAGGGTTTATGACTTCGTTCGTGATTTCTATTTCAGAGAATTTAGTTTTCTTTTTCATTCATTTGCCCCCTTGCTGGAGTTTATATATGTTCTTTGCAAGCTGATAAATTTTATGACATTCTTCAACTCCAAGAGATTGCTTTATGTATATATCATGAGATAAATCTTCATTTAAGTATGCAGACTGGATATCATAATGCAGCAAAGGCATTTTTATTTTTCCTGTTATGGTAAGAAGCATTCTCAAAGTAGTTGGTTTGGCTATGGAAGCAAATACTTCATCACAGTCGTGTCCATATTTCTGTCGATAACATCGAGCAACTAGTCTAGTTTTAAAACAGGAAACCTTTCCTTCTCTATCTCTTTTGGTCTTGTATAGCCATTTGCAGCCTATAATGGTTTTATCCTTGGAAGCACTTGTCAAAATCCTTGTGCTATTCGTCTTTAAAACATTAATCTCTTCTTGCATGGCTGGTTTCCATTTTTCCTTATCGGCACCCGAGCATGCTTCATGATATGATGATGGATATGCTGTTTTCTCCGACTGTGCTGTGAATGAACTAATTTTATATCTGTCAGGCGTTTGTTTTGTCTAGGAAGAACGCCTCAGTTCTGTATTTTCAGAAGTATCTTCTTTTTCTGAATTATCTTTAAAAGCAATTACAAATTTAGTATCTTCTTGTTTATCCTTAGCATGAGGATGTTTTACTACAAAGATCACATCCCGACTAATTACGATACTATCGGTATTTGCATCCAACAAAAGATAACTTTTTGTTCCTTATTCATATCCAAACATGATTCGTTTAAGAGAAGTGTTGTCAAGTTTTAGCCTCTTCTTCTTCGGTATATGCACATATGCTGGAGTACCGACTGCTTGTATATGTGCTAACGATAACTTCTTCTTGTTCCATTTTTCTTAAGGAGTTACTTTAAACTCTTTCGTCAGCAATCTATTTTTCAGGTATTTTGCTGTAATTACACATTTATCCCAATACTTGTTCGGAAAATTAGGCTTCCCGGATTCAGCGATTCCATTATACTGCGGAGAACAGAAACCGTTTTCTCATATATTATTCCATTTTCTTTCAGCAATTTTTAAAGCCTGTCTAGATAGCACAACTTCCTATACCCTGCTCTGGACCAGGAATTCCCAACTTTTTCTAGCATTCACCCCTTCATAGGAATTGCTTTTTACATTTATCTCCTTATATTTTTCGTTATAATAATATACTATGCTACATTATCATAAAAATAATTACATATAAATAACTTGAAATACAACAATTAAATTTAGGAAAGGAAGAAAAGTTATGAAGAATGGTTTCTAAGATTTATATTTAACTTTTTTTTGTATTTTTATTATTTTTAATTTTACGAATTTAAACAGGTCTTCAGAAACAAAATCAAAGATTAGAATTGCGCAAAAGTTTGGTTTTAAGAAATATGATGGCTATACTTCATGTATTAATTCTCGTCTTTTAATATTTGTCACAAAACTGCTTAACTTAATTCTTAAACCACCTCGCTCAAAAATATTAAACCTGTTTCTTGTTTTTCATAGTAAAATATTGATTTTATTGAAGGCTGTATGGTGATGTTTATCGCCATCAGACTCCATCAGAAGGTCATCAGAAAGAATCAAAGAAACTTCACCTAACACCTACAACCAACTTTTTTTAACATTTAAAACAGAAAATCACATCTCGCAAGAGGCTAAATCTTTTAACATTAACACACACGAGCCGTCGCCTAGGCATCGGCAATGAACAGAGAGAAGTAAGTAGCAAAGTCTCGGCGAAAACGTTTTAAGTTTTTATCCTAGCGCTATGGCGAGAAAATTGTGCAGCAAAGGTGAACGTTGCCACTAACTGCAATGGAAATTTCCGCCACACCTACATTTCTACTGCTTCTGTTAGGTAAGAAGAGTACAAAAAGAAAACATAAATAATATTAATAATAATAATAACTATAAAAAATGAAAATCTGAAAAGTTTTAGATTTTGCATAACGCCCAAAAAGGGCTTTTTTTTTTTTTTTTTTTTTTTTTTTTTTTTTTTTTTTCCCTCCCGTTTTGTGTGTTACCTTTATTTATTAAATATCATATTCTTCGCAGATAAACCATAAAATTTTGTTCAATAGCAGTATCGCAAAATAATTTTAAAATAAGCATATCTTTAGAATTCGCAATACACAGTATCGCGAGCTGGAGATGAAAAGGTTTTTTCCCCTCGTAGAACGTTGCCATTGCTCGCTTTTAAAGCCTTAAGTTTATTATTCAAAATTTCGTTAAAGTTTTACAAAATATCAAATAGATAATAAAGCAAATTCTAAATTTGGGCTTCCAGATGCCTATATTCGGATGGAAACGTATGTTATAACACATTTAAGGGCTCTAGATACCGTTGTTTTTTCACAAAGCGAGAAACATACATACATTTCTGCAGATTCTTCATTATTTAATTTCTTTAAATATAATACAGGGCAATAATATTTGTTGGCAAGAATCTGAAAAGTGAACCGACATTTATAGTGAACCAACGCAAAATTCCATAACTAAATTAATAGTTCTTCTGGGCAAATTGCCTCTTTGGTCTAACAAAAGAGTAAAAAAACAAAACACAAAGATTTTGCACTACATTTCTACTTTTTCTATTATTTCTACTAGGTAAGAAGAATGGAAAGTTAATAACAATGTTAAGTGACAACTTTAATTAACTGTTTTTAATTTTGGAATATTTCTCTCGGATGATTTTTAAATTCCAAAACTTAAAAGAAGATCTTACTGAGCCATCAAATATCAAAAATGTTTTTAAATGCATTAATTTAATGAGCGGAATGTTTTGTTAATTTCTTAGAAATCTAAAAAACAAAACGCAAGAATTTCAAATGTATAACAAGCTTTTATTAAAACAAACAAAAAATATGATGATGATATTTTACAATGATGGTAATTATTTACAAAGCAACTAACATTTAATTAACAGACTTCTTTTCAGATGATAGTTTATTTTTCAAAACTTAAGTTCACTAACATTTTATTTGCTGAGAATAGGTCATCACTGGTAGCAAGATAATCTTAACTTTTCACTAAATATTAAGGCGTGTTTTATTATTATTATTCATTATTACAATGAAGATAATTTAAGTTAGATAAACAATAATATAATTCGTTATTGCTTGAAAAATTAATGATAGGAACTTTTCGATAACTATAAAAGTATAGAAGAGCGTTGTTTGTATTCAAGATATAATAAAAAATTATAAATTCGAATTTATTATATTAAATGATCATGTTTTAAGCAACAACGGCCATGTTTGATTTTCTCATCTTTTGCCTTTTGCAAATGGTATTTATAATTTTATTTTGCGTTCAACTATTTTTGAGGAATTTCTCCTTTTTATCTTTAAATTATATTTTCTACTAATCATAACTTAAATTCTTTCAGTATTGCTAATCATTTTTATTATTTTTACAAAACGTTTTTAGTTAATGCGAATAAATTTATTTCTTCCTTAAAAAGTTTTGATGCGAGTCAAACTTAATTTTCTGAGAAAATGTTATGGCAGTAATTACAATGAACTGCTTTCAAATTCGCTGCCAAATAAAATTTTATTTTTTATGCATTAAAGAGAAGATTCTTTTTTGTGTTTACTCAAACGATAAATTTAAGCTCTCAAACAAATTCTAAATCATTACAGTTTTTCTCTTTTCTATTTTCCAATAAGACTTAGTTTTCAGAGAATTTAAATTCGAAAGAATCTTAATTTATATCTTAAGAGAAAAAATTATTTCGCAGTTATTTTTAAAGAAAAAAAAATCTTGATGCAGATGATGCTTAACGAAGAATGTAACTTATTGCTTCCTTTTACTTTCCTTTTATTGATAAATTTCTGCTTTCAGTTCCTTTTTTTATTTGCTGCAATAAAATATTGATAACTATTCATATTTATATTAATCGAATTTCTTTTAATATGAAAAATGTAAGAGAATACATACGTGAAAAGAAAGCAGTAATATACAACAACAAATGAATCAATTTTTGGCCATCTGAAACAAAGAATTTCATTTAAATGCACTTTTTGGTAAGATACTGCTGTTGCTAAAAATATTTTATGGTAGTTGCATAAATTTTAAGATGAAAAACAAAGTTCTTCATATCGTTTTTAGATACATGTTATTTCGAAAAGATTGTATTATAAAATATCCTATGAGCGCCTAGTCGCAGAGCCATTGCTCCAGTTTGAGAAATAAGTCAAATAAAATAAGCTTTCAGTCTATTTGATCACGTGATCACTGTTAGCCCCCTCAAATATAAAATTTAAATTTTATAAGAAAAATGTTCCAAATAATTAGGTCGAATAATATCTAAGGCTCTTTTACGTGATTATGCATTTTTATCTCTTTCATATCTCGAAAATCATTTTTTTTATTAAAAGTTTTCCCTTAAGGAGCCTATATAAATATTAAAGGCCTTTCATTTTTACTAGCATATGGCCAAAACTGTAATAACTTGAAAGTCAACTTTATTCGAATCATTTTTTAAAGTTAAACCATAGTTCTATGATTAAACATTCAAGAAATGCTTAGCTGTGCAATCTTTTTAAAACATCATATATAGATATTAATCTGTGCCATATACGGGTATCATAAATAAAGAATCATAGGAAATTTTACGGAATTTTTTCAAAATGGACCTTCTTCAAAAGATACAGATCTAGTTTTTGTGCTCGATAATGACAGATGTAATACACACTCCATAACGGCAGAAGCAGTCTAGAGACGAGTGAAACTTTTACCAGGTACCCTAGCCTGGCAATTGTTTTGGCCTTATTCAAAGTCTTTAAAACTTACCTCAGAAGTAAAGATGTTAAATTAATGATCTGAGTTAAAAGCATTATGTGAAAAGTCGTGTTCAATTTTGGCTTTATAACGACCACTCAGAATTTCCTCAGACAACAACTTTGTGATTAGCAATAAATAACATTTTGCAAAAAATGGAAAGGTGTGTAAAGTATTTTCTGTGCTTCTCAGCTTACAGACGATTCGTAAGTTGCTTTCAGCAAAATTAATACATACATTTTAAATTTAACTCTAGATTGAATTTTATCTCATTTTGAGTAGAAATTGTTCAGCTGCTTTTTTAAGCTACAAAGCCTAACTGAGCACCTTTCTGAAAGGCCTCGGCCTGTGGCTTAAGAGTTGAAGGACTGGGAAATACAAACTTAACTCATATGGAGAAAAGCGCAATAAATTTATTTTCCTATTCATAACAACTGATAGGTGTCGACTGCTCCTGAAAGATTGCTCTACTTAAGACTGCATTAATTGGGCCTTATCAGCAGCAACATTGCTTTATATTCGTATAAAGCTTAAAAAAAAATTATCTTTATAAAAAGTCAGTTGAAAGCAATTTTTATAGCTCGTGCTTCAGTTTATGCTATTTTACCAGGAATTTTATCCACCATCTATTTGCTACTTAAGAAGCCCATAAAAATTAACAAATAATTATTTTCCATAAATTTTTATAAGGTCCTTCATTTGACTTCTCGAGCCGCTTACTTATTTGTACTACAGTTTTTATCACAAAAGTTTGACACAATGCGCTACGTATACTACCACAGAAGTGGCAAAAACTAGTAAACCTTAAAAAGTAGTACCAAATGTAACCAGATCTCTGTTAAGACCTATGAATGCCTTTGTAACTTATATGATTGTAATCGAATCCATGGGGAACCATGGACTCTGTAAATGCCCATCCACTACATATACGGGAGGCACAGAAGGCTCTGCAAATCTGTGATACTTATAGAAACCTTTCGGCAAAGGTCCTTTCATCAGAGGTTGTGACACTAAGTTCGACTTCGGTGCCTCTCCTAAATCCTCCACTCCATAGATAGTAGCATCTTGTCCATAGACGCTAGCATCGTAATCTGATGGAGGATTGGCTTCTAGAACAACGTCTGCTGGATTGGGTACATCCATTCCCGGCTCGTTGGTCTTGATGCGGGCCCGGAAGCCTTCATCATCGGCCACATAATGCACTTCCCTTTGCATCCCATGGTTGTCAATGTAACCATAGGAACCCTGAATTTTTCCGAGGCCATCGCTGTTTTCTTGTCTCCACTGATCACCATCCTTGTCATGAACTTTGTAACCAAAGCTGTATGGTTTTGGAGGCTGCAATAAAATAGATTGGAAAATCACATTAATAACTTGTATAGTCTATTTAGAAACTGAGTACGCAGGCTGGGTTTGAATACACAAGCTTCTTATGCAAAATGATTTAACTTGTAACATCTAAGGTCACAAAAAAATGCAGCTTTTGGCATGGACATCCAAAAGCGTTATTAAGAATTTTGTAAATAATTAAATAATTTTAGTGAACATATATGCAAATTGTAGTATTTGTTGTGAAAGTAATATGGAAAACGTCAGATCGCGAAGCACTGCAAGAAAAGTAGGGTTACAGGAGTAAGTACATGTAAGACTGAGGTAAATGGCGAGATAACGCCAAGCTGGCAATGGTTTTGGTGACAAATTTGGCGAGAAAGCACCATAAGTCGCCGAGGTTGGCGATAATTCGTCGAGATTTTTGTCCTATTCCTATGTAACTGTAACTATAACTGTATCCGGCCTTCTGTAACTGTAACTGTGTGTGCTTCTAGCATGTAACTGTAATTGTGTGCTCCTTCTAGTAATTTCGAGAAATCGAAGGTACTGGAACTTTCTCGGAAAACTGGGGAAAACTACATAAGACCCGAAAGAGTATTAGTTTTCAATTGCCCATTTCTATATCAGGAATAAGCTCTTCCATGATGATCTGAAGGTAGATACGAGGATTCCTATTAATAATTCTGGCCTAATAATGAAAAAAACAAATGTTTATGATCGAAATTAGTTTTATTGTTTTCCAAAGTAATTTCCATGAAGATAAATACACTTTTACATGCATTTGAAACAACTTTCAAAGCAATTTTTCCACTCCGAATGAGGTAACTCCAAAAATGCGTTTCGAATGCATCAACCGCTCCTTCGGCTGTCGCAAATCGCTGACCATGTAACTTATTTTTGATGTGTGGGAATAAAAAGAGTCATTGGGTGCCAAATCAGGGCTGTACGGCGGATGATCTATCAATTCGATGTTTTAGCCGGTCAAAAATTCCTTAGTTCGAGCCGATATGTGAGAGCTCGCATTGTCATTGTGAAGAATGATTCGTTTCTTCTGCTTTTTTCGAATTTCTCTGATAACTTCCGGCAAACAAATGGTAGTGTACCATTCGGAATTGGCCGTATTGCGCCCCTCTAACGCCACTGTCGACACGTGACCAGTAATGTCGAAGAAACAGGTAACCATTTGCTTCGACGTGCTTCTTCCGCGAACAACTTTAGTTGGATTTGGCTCGTCTTGGAAGACTCATACAGTCGACTGCTATTTTGTTTTGAGCTCATATGCATAGATCCATGACTCATCAGCTGTGCAGATGTTATACACAGCCTTTGATGCACCTTGATGTATGTCACATGACGATCTTGCTTTATCAGTTCACGCACAGCATCGATTTTCTGGCACAACAACTGATTTTGGACGATTTTCACGAAATTCGTCTTGGAGCAAACGTCGACCATGATTGAATTCGTTATACCAGTTTTTTAGAGTGCTGTAGGGTGGTGCTTTATCGCTAAAGAATTGAGTTCATCGAAACATTCTTGTCATGATAAACAACGTCGAAAGTTATCAAAAATAATCGTATGAAAATGTTCACGAGTCAATTCCACTTTTTGCCGAGATGAATTTTTCAATTTACTGTAAAGAACACAAATCACATTAAAATGGCAAACCGTTCTGAAGAAGTTATGGTTAAAAATATCAGATTTTCGATTGAAATTGTCTGCGGTGACCTATTAACACTTACTGTTGCCAAGGCCAGAACCATAAACAGCAACCTTTGTACCATAGAGACCTATCTGCATTAGATCGATGAGAATTTCTTCAAGCCAGGACAATGCAGCAGCAAATGTAGTTTCAGTAATTCATTAAACTATATCGCTGATTTGGTGGATTATCACATCCGTCCTTTTAGCGCAGAGAATGAGAGACCATAACTTGGATTTTTTAGTTATTTTGCTATTATATGATTTGTATATGTAGGTACTTGTTTATATGTATTTTCATCCCTGTTTGTATTTTAAAAATATTTCTGTATATACTTTGTTTTTAAGCATTGTGTATTGAAAAATCTTTTGAGTTTTTGCATTTATATTAATATAACTTTATGTATGTATTCTTCGTAATGTGATGGTAGCCTCCTCCATTGGGAACTTTTAATTGCGCGATTATAATCTTAGCTGTGTTTAAGGGATTACTATTCCTCCTTTTCCTTACCTTCCTCTGTTTATCCCATTGTGGGAATCCATTTGGATATTTACACGTGAGGTGCCCTTACGGCTTCACGAGCAGAGCTTTCGAAAGCTGATACTTCTTGGCTATCAAAGCATAAGTAACTTGCATTCAGGCATTCAGTTTTCGGTTGAATTCAGAGTACTGAGAGATCACCGCGCGAGCTTCGCTTTTTTGATGCTCTGTGCATTGCGTTGTGTTCAACATTCTTAGTAGTTTGAAGTGGTAACTGTTGATTATGCTCTTTCATACTGTAATTCCGAGTAATTCCATGTAAAAAGTTCCAGAACTATAAAGTATTTTTATTCATTTTTGAAAAATAAATGACATCAAGCTGTCATCGGTTCTGTGCGCATTCAATCCATTACGAACCCGTACTCAAGTAACAGTACTATATTTTGCACATCTCTTTTTAGTCTCATCTATTTTTAATGAAAAGTTTATTTACACTTATATTTACTGTTTTGTAATTTCATACGAATATCTGTATGATGATCTGTATTTAAATGAATCGGTCCGATCTCTGTTTAGATTTACCCGCTTTTAAAACAGGAAACTGTTGTACGCCTGATGTTGTTTCCAAACGTGTGAAGAAAATGTGATCTTTCTGAACCATCAACAATTAAAATTTCAGTTACGAAACTCATCGGAGACATTTGAAGATTCTCTTTTCTCAATATCTTCCCCTTCTTTTTTATCTTTATTTATTTATTTATTTATTTTTTTTTTTTTTTTTTTTTTTTTTTTTGTTGATTGTGAGGCAGTGATCCCTTGGATAATTAATCAGTTTGCTGTATTTGCTTCGTTATGAAATTTCTTTTGATTTTTATAGTTTTCCGCATTTTCAGCATGTTTGTTGTAATTCGAGCTTGCTTTCAACACTTTTATTTCTGAGCAGTTCAAGAACCTCTTTTAAGCTCAATGTAATTGTATTTTCATCATCCTATTAGCAGTTAATTCCACAAGATTTTTTAACGCCACTAATCAGAAAGTAACTAACACAAAGTATAAAAATTAATATCAGAGCTGAAAAGGATGGCTGTACATAATGTCTGCGTAAAAATCAATATCTGCTTCAGTTTATATGCTATTTATCAAATAAATGCAATCAAGACAAAATACAGAATCCTGTTAATATTTGTCCTGATTTATTCAAGCTGGACATTCCTAATTATTGTAGCCCAGTTATCTCAAAGCGTCATAACTAATTATGAATATGGAACATGTTATAATTAATCTGTTTATATTAAAAATCATGTTATAATTAATCTGTTTATATTAAAAATCATGTTATAATTAATCTGTTTATATTAAAAATCATGTTACAACTAATCTTCAGATAAAAACTATACTACGATTAATTTGTTCATGTCAAAATAATGTAATCATCTGATCCATATATGTTGCGGTAACTTATGTTATAATTAATAAAGGCCCCGAAAAGATTTCCTTATAAAATTTTTCTTATGATTCTTACAGTTTTGATATCATGATGATTAAATCTTCACAGATGTGAAACGTTAAGAGTTTTTCAATAGATAATGCGAAATTAATGATGCTGACCATTTAGATTTTAAACTAAAAATAACGTATTAGTAATCGATGAATTTACCTCTATTTCAACTGAAACGCAATATAATACCTCGAAAGAAACTTGTTTCAGGTGTTTACTGTTCTCAATTAATGGATTTCCCGTCATGGTAAACGGCAAGTATTCCCACATGAAGAAAATATTTGTTGAAAGCCACGTGCGCAAGCGATTCAGCGAATTAAACGCACTGGCACTTCTTGAATAATTAATCCTTTCTTTGTTAACTGAGTTTCCAATTCTCTAATGTTTTCAAAATAATACACTGTAAAGTTTTCAAATTGCACTATTTTTGTATACTGTTTAGTACACATCAAGCAGGGGATGGAACTTTCTGCAAGCAGAAGGAAAAAAAAGAAAAAAAAAATTTTGAAAACGCTCCAATTTCATATTTTGAATGAAGTAAATGCTTTTATTCATTTTTATTTTGTAATAAGCTCTCTCCATTCCATAATCATTTGCGCTTATGCTGAACTATGTACCAAGAATCTATTAAATGTCATGCATAAGATTGCTATTGTAATATGATAGGTAATTTTGCACAAATGGGATTCGCGGTAAACTGTTATATCTGCCAAATAAATACTTGAAATATTTTTATAAGAAATATTTTTAAAAAAAATAAGACTTAGTAACAAGCACTAATGATCCCCTTTTGATCTCGTAATTTGATATATCTAGAGCAAAATAAGAATCAAATCCCAAATAAAATGAAAAAGACGGGAAAAATAAGTACATTAAGTCATTACATAATTAAAACATATGCATCTAACAGAGTTTTCAAATCATTGAAGTCGAATAAAATATATTTTGTTACACACGAATGAATATGAGATAAAATTTGTAGATATAAACAAAGTGGTAAATTCCTCTCAATTTCTTTCAAGAGAATAACTGGAATGTTAACTTCTTTGAAATTTTCTTCTTTTTTCAGAACTGTTCGTTTTTCTCATAAATGTATTCTATTTACTTAATATATAACTGCTTGCATAATAAAATAATAATAACTTAGTATATGACAGCATATTAATTAAAACTAATATTTCTCCTCAAGTTAATTAGCATTAATGTAAAAAATTATACATTTCATCTGCTCTATTGAACTAGGGATCTATACTGTTAAAGCTTTTAAACATGTATTGAAATAATGCTAAAAATTGGTATAAAATATGATTATCATATTCAACTGCCTGTTGTCCCCAAAATGTGGTTTATGACCTTGTAGTTCCCCAGCGGATAGTTTTTAGTGGGTAGCGATAAGTTTTTAATTTTTTATGCGATTAATTCTTAGAAATATATATATTTTAACAATTATTAATCGATAACTTTTGACTCATTGTTTAGTAATGAAATATGCTTATTTGTCAATGTCACTGAAAGTTTTTCATTACATGTTTGTCATGTGAATCACGATAAACCGTCGTTTAAAAAATTAAATCGCGATGTTAAAACATTGCGAAACAGATATCTCCAGCAATTAAAAATTCATACAGACAGTATTAAAGGTTTACGCAGAAAAATAAGATTAGGATCTAAAGCAATCAATGCATAAATTAGAACAAGGCCTTTTTTCTCACCTCTTGGAATTATGTTAAGATTAATTTGGAACAAATGGCTGCGGCATAAAAAATAAATTTATTCATTTAATTAAATTAAGTTGCAATATTTTTGCTGAAATATCGGCCTAAAAACAGTTTATAATCAAATTTTGAAGCGAAATTAGTTAGTCTTTAATCCGATTTCAGTCTCTGTCTCACTGAAAAGACTGATTTTATCAAGGATTCTTTTTGACTGTTTTTTCTAGATTTCTGTACCTCCAAAATTTAGTTTTGGAGATAATTTTGGAATTTCTTAAAGATCTTAATCTACAAAATCCCACGGACGTTTCAGTATGACATACAATCTTCGATGTTCATGGATATTTCATGGGTCAACATGGACGTTTATAAACAAACCGCGCATATTTAATATAGAACGTATGAAATCTTTTGTAGAACAGTGCAGGGTTTGAAGTATTTTGGCTGCTTTTCATTTTCGTCAAGCAATTTTTAAAAGAGTTTAGAGATATACTTCAGGTTATTTTCTTGCTCATAATATAAATTCTTTGCAATAATGTACCCACTCAATTTATTATGATGGATATAGAATTGTGGGTACATCTGACACATTTCTTCCATAACTTTTGAACAAATATCCCATAAGTTAAGCATCAAACCATGAATGCTTCTACATAAGAATAATAAAAATACTATCACATTCATATTTCATAATAAGATCAAGGCATTTTTTATTGTCTTCTTCATTGGTCTTCGACTAGTGTTATATTCTTTCTACATCAGAGTGTTCAGTTTTTGATTCATCTGCCCGCAGCATTTTTCCGATTCTAACAGCCGCCCAGACAGCATAGTGGTTATGGGAGTCGATTGCGATATCAAAGGGTCCGGGTTCGAATCCCAGAAAAGGCGTGGCTATAACTGCCCGTCCGGAGGCAAAGATGGCTCACTTATTAGGTGCTTCCATAATAAAGTAACCGCCACTTCCGGCTTTAGTAGTGGCCAACCCTACTAAGTCGGCTGAGAGCCCGCCATTTGGCGGGAGGGGGATCTTTCTAACAACTGTGTATGCGCTTTAATTTGGTAATAATAACAATGCCTAGTATAAAAGTCCGTTTTCACAGTCTCTTTGAAAAATTAATCTAAAGACTATCTGTGCATTGAGAGAGATCTGTTGACTTGCTGGTTGTCTTCTTCGTTCTCTCTAGAGCTATATAAAATACGAAGCTGAACATTGCCGCTGATAAGAATTTTTCGACATATTTTCCTGTTTTCTTATTTGAAACTTGCTATTTTCTCCCTGTCAAGGACATGTTTTACAACATTTGGTAAGCATTACGTACCAGCAATACTTCTCACAGTTTTAATTCTACGTAATAGTTATTGTATATAATATTGCAATATTCGTTTCTACTATAAAGACGATTTTGATTACTTTGTGTTCTTCAAACATTGTTATATTAAAACATAAAGAACATGAAATCGCTCTTTGCCAATTTAATTTATTTCTGAAGGCCGTTCGTTATATGAAATATTAGTAAGCCGAAACTATTTTTTTCATAGGAATTAATGTAAAATGGATTAATTCGGTCCTGCACCAGAGAGGACCTCTTATTTAAATGTACAACAGTACCTTATGCACAAGCTCGTAACTTAAAATATACGAAAATAATTAAATCTTAAGAAAAAAACTTTAAACATAATATTAAATATGTAAAATAGGTGAAGATTTAATTTACTTTTACCATACCCTTACGGTGGAGGGTGGATGGCATAAGTGATGCAGAAGGAAAAGAACGTGATGAGGAAGAGATGTATCTGAATAAAAACCATCCAAAACAAGTCAAACAACCGTCTCTCTGCGGCATTTTCTATTATTTTTCTAGTCTCTTAACCTCACTCTAATATGCTTGAGACTCACTGAGACTTCGTTTCACTCAAAATTCGTCTAGAGTGAGCTATTGTTGTCTTAAAATGTTTCTAAAGTGAGACATGGCATTGTCTCACTGCAATCATTATGCAATAGGATTATAGGATGCAATCATTATATAAAATTTAGCACCTTAGCCTATTTTGCCCAATTTTCAAGGATCAAATAACTAACTATATTTTCTCTTTCCTCTAATTTCTCTGAAGATACTTTCTGCTTAATCATCTTTGTTGCTGCTTCTGAAGATTTTTCAGTTTTTTGTTTTTGAGTTCATAAAAATGGTTCTTATGGCTCTCTAACAATTCCTCCATGTCTTCACTGTTAACTTCTAAATTCAGGTTTTGACTACAGATACACATAATCACAAATAATGTAAAGGTTCTCAATGCCCAAACTCACAAAATCTCTGTCTGCAGCATATTTTCGCCATAATTTCTTCTAAACCGAAATCATATTCATATAAGCCACTTGCCGCCAGGCTTTGTTAATGAGAGCTGTATTGTGGAAAATGGTTAAAATGATGCTTCTAGAAGTCCTTGAGTGTGAATTATTCTGAACATTAATTCTTTTATAAAACACCTTTGGAAATCATTTATTGCCCACTTCTGTGCTCGTAATTCGAGACATTGTTTGCCACCCGAGACGTTTCTCGTTTAGATAATTTGTTCGGGAGGATTTCGTAATCCGAGGTTTCACTAAAAATGAATTTTTACACACTGACAATTCACACACGTAACTCAGTCCCACAGAAGGAAAAAAATCACTTTTGTCGCAAAAGCATGTAAGATATTTTCTTCCTCTCTTCCGCATGCCTTCGAGGTGTAACTGGAAACATGCTTAATGCGAATTGAGCATTAATTCCGGAGTTGGAATCCCGGAGATGGCATTGCATATTTCTCACGTTCCTTCATCGATATAAACTAATGGCTCTACAAGCATGATACATAAACCATCAATATTAATAATAAATTTCAGATAAAAATATAGATAAATGCCATTATTACCAGTAAATCAGATGATTCAAGCAAAGCATTTCGACTTTATTAAGGTTCCAGATAAAAAAAAAAAAAAAAAAAAAAAAAAAAAACTCAAATATTGTTTTTCAGTTTTATTCATTTGTTATTGACAATATTTGGGCAAAACATAAGCAGGTATTCAGAGGCATCAGACAACAAAATTACGATAAAAATAATTGCGAGAGATCACAAAAAAGTACTAATATGCAGTACAGCGAAAAAATCTTAACGCTTTAGTTCTAACAGTTTTGCACACTACCATATATTAGTACTTACTGCTGTTGTCAATGTCGTATTAGTAAATAAAATTTCACATTTCATTTTAAAAAAAATTCTCGCACACAAAAGTATAAAAAGCTATTATATTCACTTGTTAAACAAAATCATTGCTAGTTTCATGAATAAACTTATGTTTTATTTAGTCAGATAACTTACTCCAAAAGACTCAATAGGAATTTCATAGGATTCTGCAGGAACTGTTTGAGTTTCAGCTAGATCCTGTTGGAGCTCGGCAGGCACATCAGTAGATTCAGACTCACATAGAATATGAGGTATAATAGCTATCAACAGCAGTATCTGGGAAAGAAATATTTTTACAATTTTAAGAGCGAAGTAGCAGAAATTATATTTATATCGATATCCCCTGTTCTCCGAATACAGAGTATACTCTAGTGTGTGTATATATATATACACTCTTAAACAACAACAGCAACAACAACAACAACACAAAAAAAAAAAAAAAAAAAAAAAAAAAAAAGAAAAAAAAAAAAGAAAAAACGATGCACCAAGAAGGAGTTATCCGAATGGGACGAAAATTGGTAGAAGTGATGTACATGTACAGAAAAACAAATGATTACAGTTTGGGAAAAATTGGATGATTTATTGAAGTGATAGAGCTTTACAAAGTGAAAAAGTCAATAACGCATTTGTCCACCTCTAGCCCTTATGCAAGCATTTATTCGGCTTGGCATCGATTGTTAGAGGTTGCGGATGTCCTCCGAAAGGGATATCGTGCCAAACACTGTTCAACTGGCGCGTTAGATCGTTAACATCCCGAGATGGTTGGAGGGCCCTTCCCATAATGCTCCAAACGTGCTTAGTAGGAGAGAGATCCGGCGACCTTGCTGGCCAAGGTAACGTTCGGCAAGCACTAAGGCAAGCAGTAGAAACATGTGCAGTGTGGGGGTGGGCATTATCTTGCTGAAATGTAAGCCAAGGATGGCGTGACATGAAGGGCAGCACAACTGGCCTTAGAATTTCGTCGACGTATCGCTGTGCTGTAGGGTTGCGACGGATGACAACCAAAGGGGTCCTGCCAAGAAATGAAATGGCACCCCAGACCATCACTCCTGGTTGTCGGCCTGTCTGCCGGAAGACAGTCAGGTTGGTATCACACCACTGTCCGGGGCATCTCCAGACTCGCCTTCGCTGGTCATCGGGGCTCAGTTCAAAGCAGGACTCATCACTGAAGACTATTCTACTCCAGTCAGGGGCATTCCAGTGCAGAATGAACCCGACACCCCTGCAAACGGGCTTGACGTTGTACAGAGGTCAATGGTAGTCGGCGCAAGGGCGCCGTGACCTTAGCCCCCTTTCTGTGAGCTGTCTATGAATGGTCCTTACGGTCACTAAAGCACTAGTTGCACGTACAATTGATGATAAGGATGCATCTGGGGCTGTGAGGGCCGCTCTGACGATTGCTCGGTCTTCACGTTCTGTCGTTTCTCTAGGCCTATTACTTTCTTCTTGACGCTGTGTGCGGCCATGGTTCACCCATTCCTGCCAACATCGTCTAATAGTGGCATCGCTCCTGCTCAAATGTCGAGCTATTCGTCGATAAGACCAACCGGTTTCTTTAAGCCCAACTACACGACCTCTCTCAAATTCTGACATCTGTGCATATCTTTCGTGCACCTGTATGCGAGGCATAGTTACTGTCTACCAGAGTACATAGAATGAATTCGTGTGAAGAATTTATGATTGAATCGTAATTTCTCCTCTAAATATCCGACAGTTGCGAGATCAGATTGCGCTTGTAGCGACAATCGTCATCCTTGGCAGCCAAAATGTAAAATTTTGCATTTTCCGTCGAAACCTGTATGCATATCAATTTGTGTCCAATTTGCTTTATATCTTCTCGGTGCGTCGTGGGGCGTCGTTTTTTCTGTCTAAGAGTGTATATACACTAGAGTACAAAAAATTCCTTTTTTAACATACAACCATGAAATTGTTGAAAAGGAATTTTTGAGATCAGTACAATGAAAATCTGACTCGATAGAAAGGGGATACATAGGCAAACATCAGCACCATGACATCAGAGTGCATGTCGGGGTACGCAAAACGCGAGAGTCAACGCATGCAATGGAAGGTAACATAAAATGAAGAAAAGAAGGTGCATTTCTAGGCATTCTTGTGCAAGTGAAAGTGAGTTGTTCTCGCACTAATAGCTACAAGAAAAGATCAGGACCCCTTTACACATATTAGAATGTTTGACAAGCTTGAGTAGGGGCATAGTTTGATATCTATTGCCCAATAATTTGAAATAGATAAAAGTATTGTTTCACGAGCTTGGAAAGACTTCCGAATGACAAGTACGGCTGTAAGAAAGATTGATGGTGGCCGGCCAAGGAAAACAACGATGGCTGATTACCGATGTATCGCCTTGCAGGCGAAAAGAAACTGAAACCAAACAGCGGGACACATTCTGAGCAGTTGCGCTTGGAAATCGGAAGTATATTTGCTGGCAACAATTTGAAAAGTGAATCAAAGCAAAATGCCAAAACGAAGTTAATAGTCCTTCCAGGCAAATTGCCCCCTTTGGACTAAAAATGTACTCTTCATACCATCGTATAGGGAAACAGCCATATAACTAATTGTTGTTCCACCTCAATTCAGGCGCCGTGTAAGAGACGCAGTGGATGAAGGCCGCTGACTGAAAAGACGTTTCATTCTTTCTCAAAAACTTTAATTAAAAAAATCTTCTTTTTATTATTGCAAATAAATTTAGTTTAGCTTTTTAATGAGTGTTTAGAGTCTGTTGCGTGATGATAATCAGGGGCGTAGCTAGAGGGGGGCAAGGGGGGACATCTGTCCCCGGGCGCAGAATCCAAGGGGCACCAAATTGATGTTACGACATTTTAGAATTAAATGTTTTCCCATCCTTGGCAAGCAGTAGGGGCGCGAAATCTTCAGTTGCCCCTGGGCGCTGAAAACCCTAGCTACGACTCTGATGATAATATAACCTTTCCTATCAATAATGGTGTTTTTCTACACTATTAAGAATGTTTTTTCAACTCCCATATTTAAAAAGAAGTCTCACTTCGTACTGACATAACATAAAAGAAACTGAACTTCAGTTCAGGATAAAGCCAATCATGTATCAGCATTTACAATTAAATTTTGTAGAAAAAGTGGAAAGCGAGACTGGTATAAAATGTATACACTTTTTCAAATATTCCTAAAAAGTCTGTTGTTATTGTTGGAATGAAAAACTATTGTGCTCTCAGATTTTTCAAAAAGGCACTTGTAATATGCCAATCAAAGGTAGTTGACAGACGATTGAAAGCAGCATTAGAAAAATGAAAAAAGATTCCAATTATAACACTGTAAAATGCTCTTTTTGTGAAGTACGTGCAGCTAGGTATTTAAAAGAAAGGGCTACTTAATAATAATATTTAGAATTATAAATAACTCTTTTTCTGCATCAAAATCATTAAAAAATATATGAATGCTTAATGTAGATTCTTCCTCTTCAGAAACAAAAAGATTTTTTAAATTTAAATTTAGCAGTATTTTCTAGCTCAATTTCAAGTTACAGACTGATTACGAATTATCGATCACGCTTCCCGTAAAGCAATTCTATAAATGCAGTGAGCCGTGTGTATATACTAATTGTCTTGCAATTGCATCTTACAACTGACTAATTATTATATTTTATCTGGTCTTTGATGTCTTTTATATGCATACAGAAAGTTTAAAACCTTTTAAAACCCCATATCTAAACTGCAGTTGAAGGCTGTTTTAAATGATATCCTGTAAAGGCAAGATTCTGTCTTTTCAGTAGGGTCAGACACCAGAATGTCTGTTACAGCAGGATCGGTGGAGCAATCACTATGGAGCAAAAAAACCTAAGTAAATGGATAGGTACCTTTCAAAAGCATTCGAAGTTTAGAATGAAAATGACAAAAATAGAAGAAAAAACAGTAATATTTATGGATTATTTTTGTTTTGGATGTCAATGACTTCTGAATTTTTTCCATGCACAGATGATTTATACTGAAACTCCCTCGAGTTCTATTTACCTCAAGATGAACATCTTCAGAACAGAACTTTCTGAGGGAAAATAAGTTGCATTTTCCTGTTCCATTACCAGTGTATAATTTCGGCTGAAATTAATACTTATCATATTCACACACATTATAATCTATTGTTTATGAAGCCTATTACCAAGAGTTTGAGATTATAACGACTGATTTGTTATTTTCTCGTAGTAATAACTTACTATGTTTCTCAAACAACAAGATTCACTCTGTCTTAGATAATGTTCTATTCAGAAAATTAAGCCAAGATGGTTATAAGGTGATTTCTCCCTCCTTCCAGTATGCCTTCATGTTATAACGCTCGGCGTATATTTGAGAGGTCCAGGTTCGAGTCCCGGCGAGGGTATTGCTCATTCTTTACATCTCCTGCATCAAAAATCCTAATGACTCTACAGTGGCGCTTGAACTAAAAGGTGGTGGACTATAATTTACCACCACTAGGATATCGCGATTGGGTCCTTTAATCCCCAGTCACCCTTCAAATGGAAGTGTGTTTAGTTTAGTTTAGTTTACGAGTATGCTGTAACCCTCATGGCCGACAATAATCGGCCTCATGGTTAACGCAGCACACCCGACGCAGACAAAATAAATAAATCAATGTGGATAAATAAATAAGGAAGAGTGTATATTTTCTCCCGCCTTCCAGCATGCCTTCGTGGTGCAACGGTAGGACACTCGGCGCATATTCGAGAGGTGCAGGTTCCAGTCCCGGCGAAGGCATTGTTAATTTTTCAGGTCTCATGCTTCAAAATAACCTAATGACTTTACAGGGTGAAATCAAGAAGCATTGGTAGTTCTTCCCAGCAGCGGTTATTCCGCTCCACGCAAGTTAGCTGAACGGTGTTTTGGCATTTTTCTCTCTTATACAGTATCAGTATTAGTTTGCAGAGGGTACAGGTAGACGGGACACCAGAATTTTTCCATTGGTCGTACATCAGGTATAGTCCCACCGCACTAGCTATGCAGCTCAGCCCCAATTTTTATGGAGAGATCCGCGGGAACAGCCCTATAATCTCCTACCCTCTTCCCGTACTACCAATCACTTGAGAGGACTTTTGGCTGGCCGGTATTTATAGTCCGCCACGCCGCACTACACTTACAAGATTCATACATTCCCTGGGATTCATACTTGGGCCCATCGATTCGGCAGCCAGCGTTGCTAAGCGCGGCAGCATGCAGTTTACAACAACAACGCAAAGTCAGTACCAATTGGGCTTAAAATGTCCTCCTAGAAAGCATCTGGTCATATTAGCAGACAGATCTCGAGAGATTTGCCCTGATTAAGAAATCCGATCCATATTAAAAATGATTTCAAAAAAGAATTTTAAGAAGAAAATTTGCAGTCTTTATGAAAAAAAAAAAAATAAAAAATAAACCAAAGGAAAAAAATAAAGCTAGTTATCCGTATATTAATAATATATACATATGGGTGGCATAAATGTATGTTTTTCCAATATGAACGCGTTTCTCTTGAATCTTTTACCGGCAGACAGCCCTTGTGTGCTCTGCCACAATCAAATAAGTTAATACAGTCTTTGAATCTTTAAGTAAATTGTAAATTTCCCAAATAAATCTCAACTACAGAAATATTCTACAGAAACGGATTACTAAATATAAAAATTGTACAGCACTACACCATCAATAAAAGAATATGTAAGTTAAGTAGAAAAGCTTCGACAGAAGTCAAATTAATTCAAATATACATTTTATACGTTGTGTAGTATAAACTGTGATCTTAGATTTAAGAAAGAAATAAAACTGTTTGGCCTTTTTGTCATTGAATTGACCGGGAAATGAAAGCAGTGAGTAAGAAAATCTATAAAAGTAAATAAATAAGTAAGAGAAATTGCAATATCTAAAGTAAAAGAAGGAATAAGCTAAGAAAAAAAATGAAAACACTTAAAATCATTTAAATTTATCTTGGATGTAGCAAAAATACATTGAAAATATAGAGTCCGATTAAGAATGGAAAGGCTATAAGCGTTTGGGGGCTTTCAGTATACAAAATAGATACATGTAAGGGAAAGAAAAAGAGTTTTATTTATGAGAAACATTTATATTAGCACAAGCAACAAAATAAATTAACAAAAATTTGAAACATATCCATAGCATAAATGAGAAAACGAAATTTTATGATAGAGAACTATCAAGGTAAGAAGCAAAAAAATGAACTTGACTATTCTAAAGAAAACCTCTTTTCAGAAAACTAAACTGATAGTTGATAAATATTATTCCTTAACTCATTCACGTTTCATAAATTTATTTATTATTTCTGTCTTAAAATAACTTAAAATATTCGGAAAGCTTCAGCAATTAAAACCAAAGTACATTAAACAGAACTAACCTGAGAATGCATTTTTTACTCCACTCACTAGCTATGAAAGCAAGTGTCAGGAAAGTGATTTAGCAGAATGAAGGCAAGTTCTGAAATCTCGCTTATTTTAAATAGCATGTCAACCACAAAGCAAAACGTCTCAAATATATTTGAGATTCTTCCTGATTGGCTGAAGCCTCCTGAGATGAGTTGTATCGCTTACTTTGAAGAGCGGGAGCCTCAGGATAACAAAACAGACGATAATAAAGTTCAATGCTTTCTTCACACATGGATGGTTGAGTCACATCCCAGAGTTCCAACTGCCGAAGGCTAAGAACTTTCGTGAGAAAGTGATTATTCGGGTGCCTTTCACTTTTTTTCGCTTTTTGCGGCTATTTATTCACAAGAAACATATATATATATTTAATCGTTCATTTTAGATATCACTCGAAAGGATTACTCTTTGCCTTTGTATCTTTGCTGTTATTGCAAGACAAAGATTGTAAACGCTTCCTACCAAGAAATATTGATTCCATATTATCTTAGTTGTATCTTAAAGAATTCTCACTTTGTCGGTTATTTTGAAACTGGTACGGATATTCCCCGCTTTATTAAAGTTCGATTTTCGCCATTTCACATAAGCGGAAGTATTAGTATCTATTTTCCTCCCATTGAAATCTAGAGGCGATTTTTGTTTTTGCGAAAAGAAAAAGCATAAAAAATTAGCATAGCGTTCATAGTTTAACTCTGAAATCCAAAGTAGTTTAAGAACATGCCTGCAGTATGTGTTGATTGCTTACGAAGAACTGAAAAATGAAGTAACAAAGATAGAGAGAAATGGGTGAAGTTAAGCAGTCAAACATACAGTCGCATTTCAAGTATTGTCGAAGTCATACTTCAAACATTGTCAAGCAAAGTTTTGGATCGGCAATAGCAGATGGCCGATATCGAACTTGAACTCGACACAGATAACGACAGAAGGAGCAGACCTTATTGACCACCCTGCCTGAAAGATTCATAAAAACATCTCCTATACCGATATAACAACCCAATAAATACTGGCTAAACAAAAATATGGAACAATTAGGTTAAAGGGTTTCTTCTTCACAAATGGTGTATGAAGAATAATGAGATATACCATTTTTCAGCAAAACTTTTTCAAAGGTGTAAAGTGTTGCAACTAAATGGTGAGCCTAAACCTTGTTCTCTTGAAACTTATCATAGAAATTTTACAATACTGAGTCTAGCGATTGTAGAAAACATCGAAGATGGGTACTTCAATCAGTATACTCAGAAAACCACTACTGGGTGATAAAAGAAGGTATGAATTGGGGTCTTATCTTTTTCACTGATGACATCGCATGCAGGAAACAATATGTGTGCCATAAAACGGACTTTGAGAGCGACATGATCTCGCAGCGTAAATAAAGCGGCGGCAGAATACCACGATATGGTTGTCCAAACTATGATCGAGCCTCCACAAAAAAGTCACGAAAACTAAGCCACATTTCAGGAAATAATATGAAACAGCCAGGAAATAATAATAAATATTTCTAGCCAGGAAATAATATGAACATTCATTCGTTAGACCAAATGATAGTTCTTTCATCTATCGACAGTCCAAATTTTATTAATGTCCCACTACTTTTCCCTTATTTCATTAATCATTATTTTGACGATTATAGATTAAGTATAAATTCCTTGTCTATGGGACTCTCTTCTTGCTGTTTTTGTACTAATAGGGTTTGAAATTTCCCTTCAGCAGTTAATTTTGTATGGTACATATAACTTTTTCAAAAAATTGTTTTGTATGTGTTATCTTTTACTGAAAAAGATGATAGATCTATTTTTTATTTTATTAATTTATTATTTATTATCTAATTATTTACTAATAGAGTCTAGTACATTTGTTGAAAAACTGCCAGTTTAATATCAGAATACATAATGTATGCTTGCTGCTCTATTTTAAAAATATCGTTATCTGTGTAAAACTAAGTCCATTTTCTCTTGCAGTAACTATTTACTTTCTCATTCTCATTGAATATCTCTTTTCCAACCACTGAAGACTTGCAATGAAAGAAATCATTTCAATTAAATAACAAAAATTTTATTTTCGTGCAAAAAATCGTAATAGAAATGTGTAGCAGTAATTACGTAAATAATCCTGAAACAATCTTAACAATATTGTTTTATACTGTTACACACAGTGATCAACTATAGGAGTCTATTGAAACTCCTTTGTTAAATTTGTGTTCAGTTTGGAAGCCCTTTATTCTTAGCTATTCCGCCAACCAGCGGCCGAGCGGTAAAAGTCGCTGAACACTGCTGTAGCTCGGTCCGGGGTTCGAATCTGCCAGACAAGCTGGCTGTATGGACTTTTCGAGGTTTTTCAAATGTGTAACGAGTATACGAGCCTGCTTCCTTTAGAAAGTCCTCTAAGAAGGTATCCCTCTCCTTAGGCAGATACACCGCCAGTTCTTTGCCATGTTTAAATAAACCAAACCTCTTGTTATTTTTGCGTATAACTAGAAAGGGTTGCTGCTAAATGTGTACATGCCTGTACAAGCAATAGTTCGAACTCATGGATTTTCCCAGCCCACCAGCGGCCGAGCGGTAAAGTCGCTGAACACTGGTAGTTCGGTCCGAAGTTCGAATCCCGCGAACGGGCTGGCTGCATGGGTGTTTTCGTGGTTTTCCCCGTGTGTAGCATGTATACCAGCCAGTTACCCTTAGTAAGTCCTCCACGAAGGTATCCCTCCCCTTAGGTAGATGGCCCTCCAAGCTTTTCCGTAATTAAATAACCTAGCCTAACCTAACATGGATCTTCCGAAAACTATTTAAAAAATCAGTTAATTGCAATTTGTTCTAAAGCGTAACTTTGAGAAAAATTTGGAAGTTGCAATTAAACTTTGAATCTCTTTTTTTAGCCCAAAGGGCCGTTAGCCCCATAGAGCTATTAGTTTCGAAACGGCATTTTGCTTCGAAACACTTACAGCATTGAATCCTGTTTCAGATTGTTGCCATCAAATATTATGGCCCTGTATTATACACTCTATCCATAAATTAAGGATAATGCAAAATCAGGCAAAGGAAGAGTTAGAAGCAAAACAAATTTGACTTATTTGTAAAGCTTATTTATTGAACAAAAGGTAAAGAGCAAAAAAAAAAAAAAAAAAAGATGCTATATGTTTGATATTATTAAAAAAAATTAGCGATTTTTCCTCCCTGGAGCAAATTACAAAAAAAAAAAAAAAACCTATTTACAAAAAACCAATATTACATGGTTGGATGATTGTTAATACATTGTATGTCTTCCAGACGATGCAATACAGTCCGTACAACGCCTAGGCATGCTGAGTATCAAATTATCGATCTGATCTTGGGGGATATTACACCACTCAAAAAGCAATGCTCTCCGAAGTTCCGGTAGACATGTAGGAGGAGATTGACGGGCTGTAACTCGTCGGCCAAGCATGTCCAACACGTATTTTACTGGATCCAAGTCGGATGAGATTGCTGGCCAGTCCATACAGGTGATATCCTCCGACTGAAGGCATTCGCTTACGATGTTTGCACGGTGAGGACGGGCGTTGTCATCCATAAACAAAAATTGTGCGCCCATGGCGCCCCGAAACAAACGTACATGTTGTTCCAGAATGACGTCCCGATAGATTTGGCTTGTCAGGGTTCCAATTTGAACATTGGTCAATTCTGGAAGGTCAATTCTGGAACCCAGAATAATTCCACCCCAAATTCCACTCCTGCACCACCGTAACGGTGTCGTTCAATGATGTTTTCTTGGTGGTAACGGGTACCTGGAGCTCTCCATATGAAAGTCCGGCGAGAATCAGACTGCAAGCTAAACCTGGACTCGTCGAAAAACCTCACACAAGCCCACTGTTGCGGTGTCCACAATGCATGCTCTCTACTCCAGGCTAACCGCAGGCGACAGTGAATTGCAGTAAGTGGAATGCATCTGACAGGTCTACGAGCATACAGACCAATCTGCCCTAAGCGTCTGTACACGGTCTGCCTTGAAATTGTCGTACCAGTGACTGAAGAGAGCTGATGAGACAGGTCTGAGGCTGTGCTCCGCCTGTTTCTTTTGGCAGTAACTGCCAAATACCGGTCCTCATTCGGCGTTGTAATTCTGGGGCGACCTGTTCTGTTTCTGAGGGACCGATTCTGGGGCTGTAACGTCTACTCACATTACCATCATCTTGGAATCGTTGCCAAAGCCTGGAGATGACACTTTGGGCAATTCCAAGTTCGTCTGATACTTCCAGTTGGGTACGCCCACATTCCAGACTGCCGATAATTCTACCACGTAAAAAATCATCCAAATGCGTCCTTTGTGTCATAACTATTCGGTTATTGCACTGAAATGCTTATAGAGCGCCTGCGAACAATTTTACTTTTTTGCCTGTATTCCTTATATATCACTCTCTTACACTCTCGTCATTGTGACCTACCATCGGTGTCATCTGGTTGCTTCCTGAAATTTGCATATGATTCTTGAAGATGTGTGTAGTGATTTTACATGTAATATATTTATTTTAGAGTTCGATTTCCGCGTGACTTCGAATTATCCTTAATTTATGGACATGAGTGTATTTAAAGAAATTAAATAATGAAGAATCTGCATAAATATATATATATGTTTCTCGCACTGTAAAACAGCAACGGTATCTAGATTCATAAAATTTTGAATAACATAGTTCTCCTCTCAAATATGGGGAGCTCGAAACCCGAATTTGGAATTTGTTTTATTATCTATTTCATACTTCGTAAAAAACTTTAACGAATTTTTGATTAATAAACTCATTAACTTCGAGTATAAGGGCAAGAAAAACATTTTTATCTCTAACGCGCAAGACTGTCTAGCGGAAATTCTAAAGAGATGGTGTTTTTAAATATTTTTAGCCCAAATGCTCTCGAAACGTGTCTCTGTGTAAACGAAGAAAAACGCCCCTTTAGGCGTAATATAAAATCTAAAAGCTTTCAGATTTTCCTTTATTATTATTATTTTAATATGGCGCTCCGCGGCTCATTGTTTTTCATCAATTTTACAATTACATCATTCAATAGGAAACATTAATGAAAAAATTCATTTTGAATGATTCATCATCTCTCAGATCAATAAAAATTAAATTATTTGCAAAGATCTATATGTCGAA